AAAAAAAAAAAACCCAGCTGATTCTGTGGGGGCAGGTGGGAGGAACAATGATTTCCCATGGAATGACCTTCATGAATTTTCTTACTAAAACAATATGACACACACAGAGGATATTGATCCTCATTAAAGCCATGGTAATGTCTAGAGTTCAGTAACTCACCAGAGTGTTTTGTGCTGTGGGATCACTTTTCATTGTCAAACCAAGCGACATGTTGACTGCAAAACCTGGCGCTGTATTTGAAGCATTATATGTTTGTTAAAATGCTCATGAAAAAAAATGTGATCATTTGAAAACAAGTTTAACTGATGACTGCAAATTACCAGGAGTAAAGGACCTCCCCTGACATGACAATTATTTGATTTTTTTTTAAATCTCTTCTAAGATGTCTGAAGGACATACCGTAGGTGATATATTAATCAAAGCATCTTAGTATATGACATATGAATTGTTTGTGTTTATTATTTGATTCAATTCAGTTCATGTCCAAAGATCTAAATATTTGAGAAATACTTCTTGACAAAGTTTCAGGACAGCATATCTAGATATTTAGAAATGAATGGTTAACTACCTTGAAATAGTATATCCTGGCAGTTTTGAGGAGAGGTTGTGCACCTGTATATCTTCCCTCTTCCATTTTGTGAAAACTGTTCAAGCGGAGCGCTGATGAGCAAACTAAGGAAATAAATCCAGACAGTCTGTGTAAGTAAACTACAGTTTACTCTTTCTGTTAATAAATATTTGATACTTGATTCTGTTTTATTTCCAGGCATGCACCTAACAAAAATTTAAAAGAAAAGAAAAACAGTAATAATCTCAAACAGCAAATGTTTAAGGCAACTGCAACCAACATTGATAACAACAGTTCATATTGTGACTTACTCTGATTGTCTCTGAACTACCTGATATCCAAAACCAGCAGCAGAGTTACTCAGGGTCTTCCAAGCCATAGGATCAATATTGAAACCAAGTGCAGCATTTAACACTGAGGAATAATGAACACAAATCTTTAAAATCACTGTAAAAAAAGATAACATTATTATTATTACACTACTAATCATAATGACATTTCGGAAACTGTTTACGCTGTGTTAGTCTAATTTCATTCTACCTGTCGAGTACCAGAGTGTTTCTTTCATTACCACTAGAGTGCACTAGAGTAAGACAATTTAAAGGTAGTAACTTTTCACTTATAAAACTTTAATGTGGAGCCCATTTTGTTTGTTTGCTCTGTCCCGTTCGGTACTTTAGCAATCAGAATTATTGTCTGAAGGTCAATGGATTTATTTTTCCAAGTGGGTCAGTATGGCTTTGCCATATTGGTCCACTTGATTGATCTTTATTATTAACATTATTATTATTGATTTATTTATTTTATTTTAAGTTATTATAGACTGGACAGAGATGAATGGAGGCTA